TTGCGTTGTCACTTCACTCCGTACCGCATTCAAACACCCTATCCCCCTCTTCCACCGTCGCAACCTTCTCCTCTTTCTCGTGTTTTGAAAGCACATATGCATGCATATAGGCGAATTTTAAGCGACGCCATTTTACATGGAACAGTATTAAGTGGAGCATAAATGTTTTAACTTTCTTTTTTCCAGTTGAAAAGACAAAGGAAATATTAGATGTGTTATTATGAAGCGAGTAAATGTCTACATATACTTCATCAGTATTTAATAAATTATTCGATATAAATGGAATAATTTATGTCGTGATTATATCTTCAACGTGATCTGAAGAAAAAGGATAAGAAAAATAATAATGTCGGAAGTGTGATTCCTCAGGCGTCCTTTTTCGAGCATGGAAGCGAGGGGATGGATTTTTGGCGGCGAAACGATGCTGGACTAGGTTATTTCCAGCGCCGACGCGCCAAATTGTAGGGCCTTTGCGAAGCGAGCGCGTGGCCCACGTACGCGGGGCATGTAGAGGAGCGCGCCATCTCTATCCAAGATCTTCTATCGATGGAAACGTTTTTCGATCGCGAATTTGCGTAACGACGTCTATTCGATCTCTCTCTCTCTCTCTCTCTCTCTCTCTCTCTCTCTCTCTCTCTTTCTCTCTTTCTCGACGTGGTTCGACCCGTTAATGTGGACGGGCGCATTGGGTGTGTCCATCGCCGTGAAACCGCACCAACTTGTTGGCACCGAGGGCTGAATCCTGGTGGCCGTTCGATCTCACGGGGAGTAACTCATTTCCAGGGAATGCAGGTTAGCTCGTGACGGACGGGAGGGCTGACAAGTTTTTCTTTGGGCCGGTTGGCTGGCGAGCTACTAGAGCGGGGCGGGGGGAGGGAGGTACGACACGAAATACGCTCGAAAAATAGATGGCACTCGAAACTGGCCCTCAGTGATGCGTGCGAGCGGGGGCTGGAAGACAAGGAAAAAGAAAGCGACAGTCAGTCTGTCTTAGTTTTCCATTCGAGTGCGATCGATCCGAATCGAAAAAAGTTGACATTGTCCGTTAAGTGCGACGAAAGCTATTTTCTTAAAACGTTTGTGTAAGGCTTTTTCCTTCAATCGGGTATTTTTATACCATTTTTTGCGAACATGTAAGTTTTATGAAATAAAGAGAAAAAAAAATAACAATACAAATTTCACTATTCTCTCATTTTCATCCCTTCAAACAAATAAATAGTTTCATAGTATTTGTAAATCAATATGTACGCCATATATTTTTTGTACGAATCAACGGTTGGAAAATAGAATCCTAAAATACTCACATATGTGGGCAACAAAGTATAATTAACAAAGTTCACCTTTTCATTAAAACAGAAGATAAAAAAAAAATAAAACAACCTCCAGTCGATTCGATTATAGAAAGGTCAGGGATAGGTCGGATGTATCTTTTTTTAACTTGACAGAATCGTAAGCGTGACGGATTTTAATCGAGTTTCCAAGAGCCAACCGTACTGTTCGTAACTTTTGCGTATAATAAAATATGATCTTGTGGACATAGCCATTTGTCTATGAATGGTTAGGTATCGATAAAAAATTTAATGTTAAAAACTTGCTATCATTTAACTGGAATTTGTAATGCAAATACAAAATATTTATGAAGTAAATTTAAAAGTTGCTTATCTTTTTAATTAAATATAAATTTAAAGAAAAAATAAGTGAGTACTAATTAATAACTGAGCATGTTTTCATCTTACTAATTGTTTTTCACATTAAAAAAAGTTTCAACTTGTGACATTGTTGAATTCTCATAAAATATTGTGGTCAGAAGGTAAGTTATTTTAGCAAACATTACACTTTTATTGGGATTTATTTCTCCTAGTACAAGCATAAACTTGTTTATGAATTATTGCGAATTCGAAATTTTCTAATTCCAAGAAATTAGCAATGGCAAAAATAATAATTAAAAATAAATACTGCATGTTGAATTACTCCAAGTTATCCTAACAAATTCAACTCGAGCTAGAGAAGAACCAATCAAAGCGCGATATTAATATGTATATAGTTAGGAGGTATATCGTTCACCAAGCGGAAATCGTTTGCGAAGCTGCCGAATAACGTTCTCTCTATTAGTACGTTCTCGCAGAGAATGAGAGAGAATGAGAGATAAAGAGAGATAAAGAGAGAGAGAGTGAGAGAGAGAGAGAGAGAGAGAGAGAGAGGAGATACAGGAACAACGCACATATACATGTCCAATTTAGTGTGACCGTACGAACCTCCACGTATTTGATCGAATTGTACTTTCGATCCAGCGATTCGCAGTAATGAAGTGCGGCTACGTGTTTTGCCACATCTCTATAGATACAAATTTCAAGTGAGAATTTTAGCCGACTACTATTAGGCGTGTATTGATGGACTGTTTTCATTGTCGATTTATTGAACGTCATTTGACAGCAGCCAATTTCCGTAATGACTGAGTGCTACTTACTGTTTTATTGAATGATAAAAGCGCATTTTGTCAATTTCCAAAAATGCACCTGCAAGAGCAACGCTTCGATCGGTCGTTCTAGTAAAACGATATTACATGAATCTCTAATTGTATCACGCAGTGTAACATACATTGAACGATTTGAAAAGTAAATTTTACTTCCAACAAAGTTCCAACTGATAAGAAAATAGTGTTTTGTCGAATATATCAATATGAAATAATGAATCAAGTATTCATCTTGTTTTATCAAACAATTCAGTGAAGTCAAAAATGAAATAGATTTTAAAAAATATATAACTTTCATATCTTGCTTTTTAGCTAACAATGTTGATCGTCATTCACGAAAACGACATAACACGCGTGCGTCGCAGGTGCAGCGACGCTACACATAAGCATACAGTAAATTCGAACTTAGCCGAACTGCACTCATATAGAGACGCGATCGGCTTTTCCTCGTCGTATCTTCGGCAACACACACATATCCCTCCTCCCCCACCGAGCTCTACTATCATAATGCGCTAAGTCTGATATATAGCTAGCTGCGAAGTCCATATAACGACTTTGAATCCTTTAATACACTGATACAGTGGCAGTCAGACAAAATTAGCAGAATAAAAGCGATAAAATTCATGGGATTTTAATTGGGACATAATTATATTCTTTTAAATAATTGTATTTTAATAATAAACTGATTTCAATTTTTTATTATTACACGTAAGCTGATAACCACACGAACGCATATTATACTGAGAAATAATAATATCTAAGAAAATAATTATAAAATAAGTAAGTAATAATGAAAATAAAAGATCTTTCTGTTGTGAAAAAGTTGTCATTATGAAATGACAGTTTTTATAAGTTGGATGCTGTAATTTTCACTTGCCGACACTGTATAATGCCAGCGAGAAATGTTTTTATTTGTTTGGCACTCAACATCCAATAATCGATCAAAAGAAATTAATCGAATGATTACAAGCAATAAAACCTTATCAAACTTTTCTGTAATGAAACAAATCCCATCAAAGTTGGTTTTGATCTAAATGAACTCTGAGGGCAAATAATAGTACCAATCAATCAATTTTTTCTGGCTCTCGAACTTTCCCTTTCTCATTGCTCTTTTCCGTCATCTCCTTTCTTTCTTAACTCTTTTTTTCACTTCCTCTCCCGAGAGTCCCTTATTTAACCACCTTGTCTCTCTATACATCTTTTTTTTCTTGGCCTCCCTCTATCTTTACTTTCACCGAATTCTTTGCGTCACTATTTCTCCCTCACGCACGATGACTTTCCAGTGACACTGCAGATTTTTTTTTATATGTGACGACGGCTTTTATAGCAACGCATGAGGCAGTAAAAATACTGGATCTCTCCCAATCTAACTTTCAATCTTGAGAAGGTGAGAGAGCTTTACTTAGACGCGATGATTTATTGCTCGTATTGTTGAGAAAGGGGGTGTTTTTTTTTTAATTTTTAGATTGAAACATATCGAGACAATAACATGGTCGTTGAACTATGTGTATATTTATTGATGTTTTATGGTAAATGATATGTTGTAAAAACACAAAATAATATTATACATGCGGAGGTTAAAAGAAACGTATGCTGGAATGTACTTATTGATTGAATGATAATACACAGCATTTTTACGGTTCTTATTTATTTAAGTTACATTTTAATTTTTTCTAAATATTCAAAAAATTTAGTTTTAGCAATAAATGTAATTTATAAGTCGTATGAAAAAGTAACACGTGAAAGAAATTTTCTTTGCAAATTAATTGCCAGACTGCACTTTTCCATTACAAGCAAACGAGTTTCTTTCAAATTAATCGGTTGGCTGTACTTTTCCATTTCGAATGCAGAGCAAAACTTTTCCGAAAAAAGAGTATAAACGTGCTTACTCGATTGCTCTCTTCCTTTTTCCACTTCGTCAAGTGTTTTGAGCTTTAATGTTATTAGTTCGATTTAAGACCCGAAAATCGAGGTCGATAGGAGAAAAATTTAATTCTCATTCAGTTTTTAAACAGAAAAACACTGATAATTTATTATTTCTGGTATTTGGATTTGCTTTTCACTGAATTTCTATTGACACCTATGAAATCAACTATCCCAATAAGCAGATGCTCGAAAAATAATTTTATAGGCTGCCATAGAAAGCAGAAGAAAAAAGTTCGTGCTGTTGAAAAAAAGAATTTCATCAGCAGCCACTCACAACAAATCTTCAAGCAAAAAAAAAAAACGAAAAAGAGCGGCACTTGAACTCGTTGAAGCATCGCCAAGAGTGAGTGAAAGAGAGTGTGCGTCTGTTGTGCGCATGCGCGCTGCAAGCCCGTTGGGGTGGGTCGTGGAACGAGTCGTTTTCGGGGGTAACGCTCTCTCTTTCTCTCTCTCACGCTCTTGTACTAGTCGTAGTAAGTCTCCCGCGTGCGGCGGCACATAGTGTTGGTGTAGTAGTGGGGGGTTGAGGTTCAGATCGCGAGTGCGCGCGATATATCCTGGCGGACGATTCGCGCCTCAGTCGGCCGGCGAACGTCGCGTGCCGAGCCTTCGTTTCCGGCGCGCGCTACTCCGTGGCGCTCTTAGACCGTGTAGTCGTCGTGTACATTGCGGCAAGTTTCGATTTTTGTTGAAAAATGATAGGTATGATAAATAAACAAGTGTGTTATTATGTGCGAAAAGAAAGTAGCCAATGTGATTATGATGTGCTGTGTGTTGAGTAAAAAAGTGGTCGCCCCCGTATAGAAAATCAGTGATGAAAATTTTGACAGACCTATGACTTTCGACTGTTTTTCTTCGATTTTACTTTTACATATCACTGTGACAAATCCACTGTCGATTTTTGAGGCAAAATATACATATCCAGCTGGATAGGTGGGCGACCATCGGAAGAGAATAATAATTTTCGGGGATGAATGTGATGTCACGATGGGGGCAGATGGTGTTGATTGCAAAGCGCTGGCGCAGCATCACTGTGTGACAGGTAAATATTGGTTTTAAAATTCGTTGCTTGTTTGGGTGACAATGCTTTTACGATTAGTCGAGGCGCATTTTGAGATCCAAGCAGGGCAATGAACTTTCATGTGGGGATTTTGAATTGCAAATTATAATTTTCTTTTGAGGGCTCTTGTACATAATGTCGTTAGAGGTAAAACTGAAGTGATCATGTTGATAATTGTGTTGGAGAGTATTTCAGAATATGATCAGTATCGAAAAAAGATTTGTAAGAAGTGATGATTCAATTGTTAAAATTGAAATTGTTAAATAAATAATCAAGAGTTAAATTTGTGCACTTAGAATATTAAAATGTTTTTAAATGTTAATAAATACAAATATACCTCAAAGAAATACCGTAGAAATACTTGCACTAATCTTACGCTGACTATAACTGTATATTGAAAAGTTGATTGAATGTTTTGTAATATTCATAATACTTTTATGACATCGACATATGCGAGTGGTGCTTTTTATTACTTCTCATGTATCGTGAGCATAAAGAACAATGAAGAATTCAATTGAATGGGAAGTCAAGAATGTGCACGTAAATCAGATACCATGGAATGGAAAAACAATGCCCATTCAGTATAATCATTTGCATTGATAGAATCGAACTTTTCCTATTTCCTCATTTGAAATATTAAGGGTGACTATTTATGGCTGGTAAATTTATGAAATATTCTCTAAAAAAATTATTTTTTTACAATTTAGAATCTCCGATACAAGAAAGTTATGAAGCAATTTTTATTGAAAAAAGTATAACTAATAAAAACAAGAAGTGAAAATAAGTCGATTTTTATAAACTTTTTTTTATTCGTCATTTCGTTCCAGTAAAATTAACAATATACAAAGTACGTCAAATCATTTATTGAAATTGATAGTTTAGAAATATTTGAAAAAAATAGTAATATACCAAAACTCGCAACTGATTCACTTCGCCTTGAATAATCCATCAACGGATTAAGTAAACTTATTCGCATTAACGATGCGAAGATTATTTTTTGTAACGCACAGCGAAATAAAAAGTAGCGACTATATTTTCATCCCGACGTTCATTTCCGGACGCAGTAATTCACTGCGAGGGAAAAAAGGAACTTGCGCTCGACCGATAAATTCCGTATAAAAATTTGCCGCACCCGCGAGCGTAAAGCTTTTAGTGCGCTGCAGCAGCGCAGCAGCCTTAAAAAACGCGGGGTTAAGCGAACAACAAAAAAATAAGAATCCTGGGCTGTATAACGCCATAAGCGATCGCGATTACGGGGCAGTATATCAACTAGCCTCCACCGTGCTTGCAACAGAGAGAGAAAGAACGTAGGAAAAAGTATGGAAAGTTTTTCGTTGCAGCAGGCAGCTTGTGATTCGATTTCGCCCCTAGAAGTTAATCACGGTTAAGCAAGGAAAACTTGCAGAGTTTTCTTTGTCGAGCACGAACGTAAATTTGCCATTCCTGAAAGATATTGTTTCGCTAATGGAAACAAAAGGTGTTGAATTACACGCGGTTCAGAAACTGAATATGGAAGAGTTAACAAATATTCGTTATTTTTCATACAATATTATTACAAACATAATAAAAAGGCAATCATTTTCATGAAATCTCACGTAACCGTTGCACTTTGTCCTTTATGTTGGTTGTCTTTGATATTGTCCTATGTGTTTACACATGTATAATTTCAGTCCAGCATTAAATCCAAATAAAATTCATCGACGCGAAAAATAACGTTTTTCCTCTCTTCGGTACTTTTTTTCAATGAAAACATCAGATGAAAGTAATTATGTTCATAAACTTTACGCGGTTTTTATATATCGAAGTACTATGTTTGACGTCTCCTGCTTTTAATGTAGTTCATAAATATTCGTTAGTTCAAAATAAGAATATTGCAAAAGTATATCTATATCTCTCTTCAGATTTTTATATTCTATACATTAGGGACGAGTGATTTACAAATATTTTCTTTATTTCAATAGCAACGTAATTTATCATTCAGCAAAAATCACTTCAAAGAAGTTTTATTTACTTAGAATGTCAGTAGGTAGTTAAGAGAATTCACAATCAGTCCAAGTTTGCGTGACACAATCGAGTTGAGAAAAAACTTTCTAAAAGGGAAACAAAAAATGCTGCCTGCCTGGCATTTTCACACGGCAATCAATTATTTCGCCACTCCAAACTGCCAACTCAAAAAAAGCCAAATCCACTCGCCGGTGGGGAAAAACAATCAAGCGTCGACTGGCGTTTTTTTTTTCACCCTCACCTCCAATTACAAAAACCCTACCCGTCACGCAATTAATACGTCGAGTCGTGTTTTATCACAACTGTGTACCCTCTTCCGGTTATAGGGTTGCACAGCACGACGACGAAATAAAAAAGGAGAGTGCCTGAAGAAGAAGCAGCAGTGAGCTACACTGCTCGCCGTAACGATGACGCGACAGATAGAGACAGCAGATTGCTGTGTCGGACGGGGAAAAGAGGAGAGACTTTAAAGCCAGGAGGTAATGAAGCGCTGAGGTGTGCTATCGTGATCGAGGTGTGACGCGCGGAATTTCTTTCTTGTTTCTCGTTTTGGCGTGTGGCTGTCACTGTAGCTATATAGCTAGCCTACGCTTTTGATCTTTCAGGCGAGAGTTTTCCCGATGCTCTGCGGCATCGTGCTGTCGCTTGTTCACCATGAAAATTGAAGGTTGCCGTTGTCGACAAACATTTCTTTTTTTAAGCGTATTTTCATCGAGATTGATGAATGTCTTTTTTTCTCTCGCAATTATCCGGAGATTTTGGTTAAAGTTGTCACGAGAGATTAATTGCTTTCGATGCCGATAAAAAATACTTTCTGAACAACTCATGCAACGATCGATAATGAAACATATTTTTTATAGTTAACGGCAAATACATTTTTTGGAAAAAACGGAATTTTATCTTAAAATTGAGTGCATACTCTACATTTTTTTTTTATTAACTTTGTGTTAATGCTTTATGAAAAATTCATGTGCTTTCATGGCAATATGTATTCATGACATTGATATCCATATTTTCTCCAAGAAACGTGCATCAAATGCTAAGCCTGTGCACATACACCATGGTTGTCACTTGTAGCTTGCACTTGGTAAAAGAACACATTTTTTAACAATTGACTGCGAAAAACTTTTTTCTTCATTTTATACTCTCGGAAATAGTTATAATTAGTTAGGAAGCTTATTCTTGCTTTTAGAACAACGTTGTATAATTGATAATGAATAATCGCAATTTTCATCGGATGAAATCTCAAACCTGCGATGACAAAGGGATGCAGTGAACACAGAGAGAGAGAGAGAGAGAGAGAGAGAGAGAGAGAGCTTAGAAGCTCGCCTGGAGGCTTCGTTATCCGATAGATAATTAATTACCGGCATTGCCGCTCTGCAGCTAAAGCGACATTGCTGCTGCGTCACTCTTGTCTTGTCTTTGGGAGTGGAAAGCCCTTTTGTGTGGTACTGAATTCGGAGACGGTTCTACGTTCTCGCAAAGCGTATGTTCACCTAGAGTTAACTCAAGGATATTGGTGATTGGCTGATAGTTGTCATTGTCTATTGCTTCTCCCCTTTTCTCTTCTAAATTAATCGACATATGAATTCACTCAAAAAATATAATTGTTATATTATATAGCTGAATATTTGTGCGATCAAAATTATTAAACTGCGTTTAGTGTGGGTAATGTCCAGTGAAAAAAATCCATTTTCCGCGTGACAAAAGGCTTTTAATTTAATAATATAAGAGAAGAAAGAGAATATTTCATATACATACACGAAAGATATCATATTCGCCACATGCGCAAAATACATGAGGCGCACACGGTGCCGCTCCACGCGCAAAACGCTTTTGCGGTCTGAAAAAATATACGAAATCTCGTTTCCGTGCGCAAAGTACGTAATATAACATGACTTGAGCATCAAAAGAAATAGAGTGCAGGTTTATATTATTAAATTTGGGTTACATATAAGCGCCTAAAAAAAGTATTAATTTGTGGAATAATCTTCGAAGTAGCGTATAAATTTTTTTCCCTGAGAGCCAATGAAATAGCTGGAGGGTATGTTTTCCAATCACACAAAATTTTTTGCGAATATCTGCGGATAAAAAGTTCCATTGCAAAGAAAAATGCCCAGCGGCTTTTTTCCAGTACCTATGATTCGCACAAAATCTCACCGAACTATTTAGTAGTACTTTATGAAGCATAACAACTAGAGGTATTGTATAGAAACATATAAATAAATTATTTAAAAAGGCGGTTGTTTTTATTGTAAACGAAAATGCGTTTTTAAATTAATTATGCTTGTTTTAATTAATGAATAATTAATTTTGTAGATTAAGCTTTCATGTCAATCGCTTAAAAAATTTCAAAATATGTTATTCATGAGCAGAAATAACATCAAAGCGCTAATAAGCGCAAGAGAAACTGAGTAAACTTTCATCACAGAAAGGGTATCAAATTATAAATCCTATCTTGTCGAGTAGTAGCTCTTATTCAAAATTATTAAAATCCAGTCAGATGAGCTCTCTCGAGTTTGGTAGAGGCAAGCGAAATAAAAAGAAGGAAGGGGGAGTACGATAAAAATCAGAGAGCCGTATGAAGGCCCGACTAACAACTCGGCGAAAACTGTAATTTTATTAGGCAACTTCCTCTAGAGAAGAATCCTCCTCGGCTGATCATAAAGTTGGACAGTCGTCGGAGAATTTAATTAGCCCAACGTAACTTTCGCAAGCGATTTCATTTTGCGACGACGACGAAAAAACCGAATGGCGATGATCTCTCTATTTTTTCTCTCTCTTCTTTAATGCTACGCTTCGTTGGATAAACTGACCTCTTCAAGGAAGGAAGAGCTAGTTTGAGTGGAAAGTACTAAGGATTATGAGCTGGAATTCTTACTGTTTGACGACGGGATTCTGCTCGTAGATGAGATGTTCAAGATAACAGCGAGAAGGACTCAGAATTATAACACACAAAAAGCTCAATTCGTTCAATT